GAAGGAAGGAAGGAAGGAAGGAAGGAAGGAAGGAAGGAAGGAAAGAAATTGACCTAGACTGTGTCTTGGAAGTCAGGAAAGGCTTCCCTGAGTAAATGACACTTGAGTTGAGATCTGAACAGTTAGTGGATATATAGTCTGGTGGGAGGGGAGCTTCCCAAATCAAAGGAATGCTAAGCGCAAAGGTCCTAGGGAGGCAGGAAGAATGACATGCTCCAAGAACTGAGAGAAGGCTAGTGTGGCTGGAGCTCAGAGTCTAAATGGAAGAGTGAAAGGAGACGCAGTTGAAAAGATACACAAAACTACAAGACAGGGCCTAGTGAGGCATGTTAAAATTTTGGTCTTTATCCTGTGTACAATGATATTCTTTCTTTCTTTTTTTTTTTTTTTTTTGAGACAAGGTCTTGCTTTGTTGCCCAGGCTGGAGTGCAGTGGCATCATAATTGTTCACCGTAGCCCTGAACTCCTGGGCTCAAGCAATTCTCTTGCCTCCCTCCTAACTAGGTAGGACTACAGGCATGTGTGACCCTCTGTGGCTAATTTTTTGGTGTTTTTAGAGATGGGTCTTCCTATGTGCAATGAAAACTCACTGAAAGATCTTAAATAGGAAGGTGATAAGGTCAGGTTTGTTTTGAAATAGTCACTCTGGATGTTTCAGGTTCTAGTAAGATGGATGCTTAAGCTAAGAGGAAAATCACCTGGATAAAATAGAATTTTTTTGGTTTTGTTTTTGCAATTCAAAGCTGAGTTTGCAGGGAAGTAAAAGAAATTCTCACTGCCCAAAACAGGGGAAATAAAACCAGAGCAGGAAGCAAATGAGCAGGCCTGAAGCTAAGGCTGAGGATAGGAAGACCTAGTATCAATGAATGGCTTATGCTTCAACATTCAAGCAAGGATAAGAGGTAACAATTTAGGACAAATGGAGAGTTAGAAATGAGACCTTTACATAATCTGGGATCCTTGAAGGCTATATGCTAAACGAATGGAGGCTCTAGTAGAAAAATCCACTTACCCCCACAGAGAGACTGCAAAAACTTATCTTCACCCAGACTCTAGATAGGAAAAAAATTTCTTCTGTAAGAAACTGAAACCTTAGGTGTGACTTCACTCAATTTTGGAGTCTGACTTTACACTACATATCCTCAATTCTAAACTTAAACATGAAGTTTGACCCAAGTCCATGAGAATACTTAGTAGAAATAATCCATCCTCCTGGAGGGACATTACCACACCCAGGCCACACAAGATTCCCCCAGAAGGGGAAAACATTTGCTTGAGAAGAGCTTATAATCAGCTGGGCATGGTGGCTCACACTTATAATTTCAGCACTTTGGGAGGCTGAGGCATGCGGATCATGAGGTTAGGAGTGCGAGACCAGCCTGACCAACATGGTGAAACCCTGTGTCTACTAAAAATACAAAAGTTAGCTGGGTGTGGTGCTGTGCGCCTGTAATCCCAGCTACTCAGGAGGCTGAGACGGGAGAATCACTTGAACCCAAGAGGCAGAGGTTGTGGTGAGCTGAGATAATGCCGCTGCACTCCAGCCTGGGCAACAGAGTGAGACGCTGTCTCAAGAATTAAAAAAAAAAAAAGAGGGCCGGGCGTGGTGGCTCAAGCCTGTAATCCCAGCACTTTGGGAGGCCGAGGCAGGTGGATCACGAGGTCAAGAGATCGAGACCATCCTGGTCAACACAGTGAAACCCCGTCTCTACTAAAAATACAAAAAATTGGCTGGGCATGGTGGCGCATGCCTGTAATCCCAGCTACTCAGGAGGCTGAGGCAGGAGAATTGCCTGAACCCAGGAGGCGGAGGTTGCGGTGAGCCGAGATCGCGCCATTGCACTCCAGCCTGGGTAACAAGAGCGAAACTCTGTCCCAAAAAAAAAAAAAAGAAGAGCTTATAATCAAAAACATTTTCTATTAAATGATAAATTTGATCCATCTGAATTTGTACTACTGGTGCATTTCTTTGGGTACGCATGGAACACAGAGAACACTGAGCAAGATGACCATATGCTGACCATAACACAAGTCTCAGTAAATGTAAAAAACTGGCAAATCAATAACTATAAAGAGCCATTTTCAAAATGCTCCAAATATTGAAAATTAAGCAATAGTACAAAACATTAGTACAATTGAAAAGTATTTTGACATAAAATAAAATGAAAACATAATATATCAAATGTGTAGAATGGGAATTCCATTTCTGGTATGGCAATATGAGAAACTCCATGAAACCATTCCCTAATGAAGCTAGTCAAAATTATTTTTAAAAACCGTAAATTGCCTATAAATGCTCTCTGGAAATCCTGAGGACATACAGGAGATAAAGGGACAGTTACTCAAGAAAACCTACTAAAGTAAAAGTCTGTGACATCTGCTCCCTCTCCTCTCACTCTCGGCTCAGCTAATTGAAACACCACTCCAGATGGGAACAGCTAAGAAGAGACGGCTCATTCATTCCCCAGCTCCCAATCAAGGTTTACAGTATTTTCCCATAAGGGGTAGGTAACAGCATTACTCATCCTGCTCCCACCTACTCATTTCAGAAGCTACATTCTTGACATGTATGGCTGAGAGGGAACCCCCACACATGGAATGGGGGATCTATCTCGTGTGTGACACTGAACATAGTGGAGCTTAACAGCTGGGTGTAGTGAGGAAGAGAGACAGTCAAAAAGGGCCTTGCTTAAAACCACTGCCATCCCAGGGTGTTCGTGAACATACCCAAGGCTGAATCCTCTGAAGAGCAACATCACAGGCTTCACACTACAGAGGGGATAATAGACTTCATCAAAATAACTGAATCAGTTACTAAGCATATAAGCAAACAGGCTTCTAGTTTCTGTTTCAGTATGTAAAGAGCTTAAAAGTCATCACTCCCAACCTCGTAACAAGAAAAAAGGCCGAACAACTGAAAGTCAACAACTTTTCTTATATCCATCAGATCTAAGGAATACTGCTTTAAATATAATGACATACAAAAATTAAAAAGGAAAAAAATATACCTTATTTAAATAAATAAGGACAAAGAGACAACTGCTGCCCAGTAAAATGGAGAGAAAGGCAAATACAGAGAATCACAGCTTACTAGGAGCAGAAGGTATTGTTGGAGTTAGGAGCTGGTAGAACAACTAAAAAGAGTGAGTAATTTCTGGAGACTGGGCATGGACTTGAGAGATAAAAGCTCCTGGGGAGCCAGCCTTAGAGGCCCCCCTTTCATTAGTGTTACCTCCAGAGGCCTCAATAGGTTTTCAAGGCAAAGATCAGAGAAAAATCCCCTCATGCTTCTGGCAAGGTGAGGGTGTAAGTAACCTTTTTAAAATAAGTCCAGAGCGTTCTGTTCTAAACCAAGATCTGCTCTTAAGGGA